CTCTTCTTGTTGTCTTCAAAACTTGTCATTTTAGCCTCATGTGTGAGCACCTTTTTAAGTTCATGTTGGCCATGTCTTAGCTGGTATTTGTGGTTGTTTTGCCATGTTATAGCACTATTTCAAGTTAGTTTAGACACACCATGCATGGTTTGCATACGCGTCTTGTAATGCCATGAAATTGCCCTAACATGTTTTGTGCTTTGAGCCTTGTTTCTAGCATGATTTTGGCTTAGCTTTGTGAAGCTTTTATGCATGTTTTAGTGTGCTTGAGGTCTGACTTTAGTTATTTGGGTCGTCTATGACTTGCTTTGTATAGTTACCATGCAATCTCCCTTATAGGCCTTGAGTGTTGGCTCCTCTAGCATGCTTTACTTGCACTATTTCAGTGGTTTGGAACCACTTATCATGTCATTTCAGTCCATATAGCATACTTGTATACTTGCATTTATGGCTCCTTTGATGCTTCAAAAGGTTTATGTTTTATGCTCCATGTTTGGACTTTTATGCATGCCTTTAGACTTAGGCCATTTAGATGCCATCTAGGTGTGTCTTTGACCTTGTTTTGGTCTGCTTTAGGACTGTTTTGAGTCCTTTTGTCCCTTTGAGGCTGGCCTTGTACGGCCATGGATTAAGCCCCTTTGATGGCTTTGAGCCTTGAACCTTGCTTGCATGCTTTGATTGTTTTGTTTAGTTGGTTTGGCACCATCCTCAACATGATTTTCAGAGTTTATCATGCTTGCCATTTGTCCATGTTTGTCCCCTTTTAAGTGTTTCTTAAAAGTCCCCTCTTTGTGCTTAAGTGTTGGACCATGTTCCCATGCATGTTTGTATGTAAATTTGCCTTCATTTCCATAGCATTTTTGGCTACTTATTTAGACATGGCTGAGGCTTGTCCATATAGTTTAAGTCCACCGTTTGCATGCTCATATTGCATACTTAGCTCGCATGCTTAGGTTCATTTGGCATGCATGCCTTGCCTCTTGAATCACATGACAGAGGTTGGGTCCCTTGTTTGTTTAGGTTGCATTTCATTTGACATTGAAATGACACACTTGGCCTCTTTGGCCATCATGCATTGAAATGCGGATTGGTGGCTCGAGGTCGAGGGCCACACTCCCTTGAGTTCATAACATGATGGGAGGTTGGTTGTGCAAACATTTGCTTTTAAAATACATTGCCATGCCTAGTTTGCCCTCTGTGCTGTCAAAACAGGATTCTGCAGAAGATATGGTCGATTGACCATATTGAGTGCCGGTCGACTAAATATTTTTGGTCGAGAGCCATACCAATGGTCGATGACCAGTTTACCCTGGCGGTGTGTGTTCCTCTTGGTCGGTGAGCCTTCCACAGTGATCAGGAAATGATTCTGGAGCATCATTAAGACTTTTACAATTTTCAGAGGAGCAGAGCAGGGTAAACAGAGGCAGCTTATGCATGGTGGTGTTCCGAGCGAAGCCGAGCACGCATGCATTGGACCCTCTTCCCGAGGCTGTTTTACTACTTTATTAGCTTAGTTAATTTGCTTAACTAGTTATAGTGGTCTGTAACTATTTAATTAGCTTGTTGGTTAGTTTAAATTTGTATTATTCTTTTGTCCCTCAGAAGGAGGGTGAATTGTGTAATAAGTGTGCGTTGTGATGCATGTTTTCCAACCCCCACTTATTTTCTCCTTTTACTTACCTGTTTTTGATGATTAGTATTAGGACATTGTTTTTGATAGCATATCTATCGTATAGCATGTTTGCTATCCATTCATTTGTATTGCATGCACTGGGCTCGGCGCATTCATACTTAATTGCATAGTATGTCAAATCTAACTTGAATACATGTTATTTATTGCATTTCACATGCCATCCATAGATTAACCGAGCCTTTCTAGGGCATTTTGCCTGCCGATGCATTTTAGCCATCTTAACATGGACTTGGATCATACATTTGATTACTAACATGTTCTTTGATTTGGCTTGGAGTACTAGGTGAATGTTTATGCTTTTAGCATCTCGCATAAGTGTGAATGTTAACATGAAAGCATTGGCTTGCCATGAGGCTAACCGCTTAGTTGATTTACTGCCTGATTGCCTAGTGGTAAAGGTTGGATTGTTTGAATTGGAATAATTCATGGAAATCTGATTTTAGCCTACTTGCGAGTAACAAATCTCAAATATTTCCAAACAATGGATATGCGATGCTTGTTCCAAATTAGGTGATCTAGCCTTATACTTTTTGTGTTGTGCGCATCACATAAGTAAGATTAGCTAATTAATCGGATTAAGAACACGTGACGTTTGCAAAGCTAGATATCATGGTTAGTAGAGGCCGATCTTTGAAATCGGGCGAGCGGGGTGCTCATAGCTGACCTTCCCCAATCGTACCCAAGTTCCCGAGCCGAGACAACTTTGGTGATGACAGACACGTGGGCTTTAGGCAAACGAGTCAAGGTTTCCTAATTTTCCCATAAAAAATATGTTAATAGTAGCGACTCTATATCTGGCAAAGCAGTCCATGTCTGGCCACTTCTTTCTAAAAATCAGTTTTCCAAAATGATTTGGACTATTTTGATGATTTATCAGTCTTGCATTGCACTTTGCCGAAAATCAGATTAAGAACTGTGACAAACGAGTCCAACTGTCATCGAGGTCCACTGGGCGCGTCTACACAGGATTTGGCAGAGGAGAAGGTATGGATGCTTCTATTTCAGGAAATGGAGCATGGGCCAAAAGGAACAAGGGCATTAATATAATTCGACCAGTCAGGAAGAACAAAATCTTCGGCCTTCTGGGCCTAAGAATGATGGATTGTACCCAGTTAGCGCCTCTTCTAGGCGTCGGGGCAGGCTGTGCCTATCTTTGTAGGCATGGAAGGATGTATACCATCGCCACAAGCAGATTCTCTTCCAAATTGCATCGATGGTCCATGGCACGTGAGGATAGCACACCGGAGTTCGCGCATAAGAGGGGAAACTCTAAAGGGTCAGTTTAAACTCGACAAAGTATGTTGACTGTCGTTCCCTCTCAAATCACGGGCCTCAGTTTTTGACCAGCTTTTGTCCAGTCAGACAACCCCATAAGAGATAGAAGTTGCACCCTGTATCCCATGCAGAGGGTTGTGAGAAGAACTCCCCATGTCCATATTTGCGACTTTCTAAATCAAAGATTGAGAGCAGTTTTGTTCGTTAGTCAAGGGCTGAGTCAGAAGAAGAAATTCCATGTCCATATTTATAAGTTTCTGAATCGAAGATTAAGGCAATGATGTTCGAAAAGTCCAAGGGTTGATAATTTGCAAAGGCATCCATGACCTGAATATAGAAAGGTGGGTAAAGGTGGCTAATTAATGCATGGAGGTTCTTTCGAGGAAGAACAGCATCATCATATGACTCTTCGTGTGCTCGATCAATGGAGGGAAAAATTGATTCGGCCATAAAAAATGTATCAATCTGTTCGAATACTAAGGTGGTGGGGGGTATTCAAAAGATTAAAGGAGAGTTTAATGCAGATGATGGATGACAGTTGCATTTCTGGGAGAATGCAAAACCCATGCACGTTCTAAGACGTGGGAAAAAGACTTTGATCCACTAATATCACCAAGTATTGGGTATATTAGTGCAGGGGGTAATGTTGGCTACATATTTTGTACAAGCCAATTACAATTCGACGCATGGCAGAATAAGGGTAATACAGGAAGGCTGGTCAAGTCTTCGATCCTGATCGTACATGTGGCAGTTAGTATTGGTTATTACGAGATCTGAGTAGCAGTGGATCAACAAAGATAGGCAAGGTGATGTGGTTTCAACGGTTACTCACATTTAAATTCAAATTTATGAGGGAAGTCTAACCGCAAGTGATGGCATAGTGGGCTAATTACAAGGCAACATGATCAGCGATCATGGAGGAGCAGTTCGACGGTTGGAACACAGTTCGATGGTCATCCTTGAGAAGTATAAATAGCAGAGAAAGCCCTAGAAAAAAGCCCAGATTCAGATCCAAAAAATCAGTCTTATTCTACATATTTTACCTTTCCAGTTTTACATTTTCTGTTCTTTACATTCCTGTACTTTAAATTCCTGTACTGCACTTCGTTCATAAGAGTAGTTTCAAGTAGTAGATTGTTACTGTAAACCTTTACGAGGCTGAGTTTGGATCATTGTAAGTTTTTCATCCTTAATGAAATACTTCAATAGTTCTTCATTTAATTGCTATCTTGTTTAATTCTCCTAAATCAAGCCACCAATAAAAGTCCTCTTCATTGAGGCTAAAAGAATTAAAACATAATCGTCTGATAATTAGTTAACAATTAATTCTCTGTAAGGACTGATTGATCCTTATTGGCACGCTCACAATTACAAAAATAACCTTCGAAAGCCAAAAAGCCAACAATATAATACATGTTCCCTAAAAAAAATTTAATGACTTTTTTTTACTAATTTAAGGTGAAAAAAAAAATCCTCCAGAATTGAGTCATTTGACAAAACACAAAATATTTAAGTTTTTAATTTTGTCAATTTAAACTCTAATTTTTTTTATTTATTTTTAATATAAATCATTTGCTTATTTCTATTAAATAAAATCGATGAAAAATAGACCTTTTAGTTATTAAGCTCAATAAAAATTGTATTTTAGACTTGTTATACATACATCGAATTTATTGACTAAAATACTATTTCTCCATTGATTTTACTTTTTTTTATATAACATTTTTTGGAAAAGAATTTTTTTATTTTTATGAAAAGATGTGTAGAAAGTACAGTGGTGATACAGACCACCAATTTAGGGGCATTAATGTCAACTCTAATAAGGTGGGAAAAAAAAAAGAAAAAGAAAAATTATCACATCAAGATAGAACTCACAGTAATGTCACTTTATTAGTCCAGCTTTAGTGATCTCAAATATTATTTAAAAAAGTAATATGAAAAACAAAAAATCTTTGACTTTTTCAAAGTGAATGAAAATAAATACTTTCTTGTAGAGCACTCAAATCCAGTCTCTCTCATTCTATATATAAACAATCCATCCAATACACAAAAATTCTCTCTAGGGTTCTTCTTCACTGTTGTGGTGTATATTGATGATTGATTGTAGCAGAGACAACATAGGCATGGAAACAAGGGAAACAAGGGACACTGAAGAAGAAGACCGGATCAGCAACTTACCAGACTCGCTTCTCATTCACATTCTCTCTTTCCTTGAGACAAGATATGCAATAAGATGTAGTATTCTATCAACAAAATGGAGAAACCTCTGGGCTTCTGTTCCCAATCTCATCTTCCACATAGACTCACATTCCAATCGATATTTTGATTTCATTGACAGAGTACTCCTCGTCCACGACTTGCCTCAGATTCTCAGCTTTACTTTCACTGGTAAGTCCTGGGTTGATATCGAACCCAACCGTTTCAACTCTTGGATTTGCGCTGCGATTAAACGACGTGTTCGAGACATTCATGTCGACTTCTCTAATGAGTTTCGTATTCAATCCCTTAACTTTCCTCGTAGTTTCTTCTCTTGCGAAACCCTCGTTAATTTGACCCTAGGGTTTGAAGCCTGTATTATTTCCAATCTCCCGAACTCGACTTATTTTCCAAATCTCAAATCTCTCAAAATCTGTGTTGCCCATCCCAATGACAGTTTAACACCAACTCTCTTTTCTTGCTGCCCTCTTCTTGAAATTCTGTATTTACGTGTAAGGCTTGAATGGACAGTGCACAAACAAGTGGTTTTCAATATCTCCACACAATCTCTGAGAGTTTTTAGATTGTATTTGAACAAGGCATGTTCAAGTCCATTCGATTGTGGTTTAAAGCACAAGGTTGTGATTGATGCGCCACTTCTCGAAGACATTCTTCTTGATGATAACTTCATGGCTTGCTATTCAATAAACAACCTATCATCTTCATTGGAGATAGCACATGTTGATGTTGGACTACAACACATTTATGCAAAACTTATGGAATGTGATTGTGCTAATCGGGCACTTGAACTTGTTAGAGGAATCTCACAAGCTAAGTCCCTCCATTTATCTTTCAATACTTTACAAGTAAGTTTGCTAGAAATTTCTTCATTTCATATGCACCTCGTTATAATTTTTAGAACATCAATATTTTTTGTTGTGGTAATGTTACACATAACCCAAACTCTATCACCAAAGAGGAAGTCTCTCTTGTGAATGGATTTGCACATGATTTTTTCACCCGAGTCTCTTCTATGAATTTTTTGGACAAATTATGTAAGTGTGCCTTGTAATTTTCCTTTTATGTCAATTTGTTTATGTAGTTTCAGTTGTATGAATTTTGTCACTTAATTTTTTGTACTTTGTCAATTTTATTAAGAAATTTGAATGAAATCAAACATAAAATGATTCATTTAAACTGGAATGAATCATTATAAATTAGATCCAACCTCTCAAAACGTCAATTAGATTATTTCAATTCAATTAGATTATTTCAATTCAATTTCTAAATAGGCGTTTATCAATTCAATTGGATTACTTAGTACAATGTGAGAAATTTAAGCGTAAAATTGATACAATTAGAACTAAGTACTAAATTGACAAGAGAGAAACTATAAAGATTATGAGTTTAATTTGTCCCATCTTTTATTTTATTTAATTTTTTTTGGTTGTAAGATTTGTCAGTTTCTATAGCATTTGTCTTTGTACCATTAGACTTTCTCAAATTTTATTCCTCATATTTTTTGGGATTTATTGGGCATGGCACAAGATACTCTCTTCAAAGAAGGAAAAAAAAGTGTTCATACATACCTAGTCTCATATATTTAAAAAATTATACCATCTGATTAATTAATTATCTAGTTGTGTAGTTATAGCCCAGCTGAGCGATCATGAATTTCTAATTGACTATTATACTTGTTAACTGTGAAGGTTCTTGGCTGTGCTGAAGATATTGGTCAACTTACTCTTTGGAATTTGACCCGTTTGGAATTGGGTGTTATTTATTTGTCAAAGGTGATGCTGGACTTACTTTCAAAGATGCCTAATCTAGAATCTTTGAAGCTAATAATGGTGAGTTCAAATGTATTTTTCTGTGCAAAGTAAAATTGTTTATTTCATTTAAAATCACTAGGAGGGAAGGGGAAACTGTATCATTACACCTTTCTTCTCAAAAATTGCCCTTTTAAGTTGCAATTTTGAAATTGTTTTTCAATCTTTGTCTAGGATTATGAGTGCTATTATGGGAATGATGAAGAAAAGGAGTTCTATAGGATTCAATGGCATGCTGTGCCTTGCTGTTTGTTATCACACCTGAAAGTGATTGAAATATATAACTTCAGAGGAAGGGAAAATGATCTGCTATTGGTTGAGTATTTTCTTAAGAATGCAAAGGTATTGAATAAGATGGCAATTAAGAATCGAAATTCATATTGTTTTGTCAATGTGGAAGTGTTAAAGAGAATACCAATGTTCCCTCGGGGTTCTGAGACATGTGAGATTGAAATCGAAGATTTAATTTCCAATCTTCCAAAGGATCACATTTGCAGGCACGAAACGAACAAGGAAAGCTTGGTGGAATTTGAGGTCAATGATTTTGTTTGGGCTATCCTCACAGAAGATAGGTTCCCAACAAGCGAGTACAACAAATTGGCAATTCGAAAAATTGGACCATTAGAGGTTGTGGAGAAAATCAACTCAAATGCTTATAGGTTGAAGCTTCCCAGTCACATTCGTATTTCCGATGTGTTCAATATTAAACATCTCAATCGATACCATGAAGACAGTTATGATGAAGACCCTATGAACTCAAGGGAAAATTCTCTCCACCCTAGGGATGATGATGCAATACGCTTAGCGGAGAAGTACATGGCTACCCGAGACCATCGAAAGGCCCAATAAGGCTGACTGGGCAAATATGTCGAGATTATTTCAACTCTGATCTTAGACAAAGTTTAAAGACACATTTTCTGAAAAGCTCCTCACAAGATCTACAGATTCAATGACAAAAGCCAACAACCTTGTCAAATTAATGTTGGATTATGAGGAAGAAGTGAAGTGCAGTAGGATTCTCGCTATTTACTATCACATCTGAAAGTAATTGAAGTAGATGACTTTGAAGAAATGGAACATGAGCTACAAATTGGTCGAGTATTTTCTTAAGAATGCAAATATATTGAATAACATGGAAATTGGGCATTGGAATTCATTATGCGATTTGGATAGCTCAAATAGTACACTGCTGAAGTTGCACTTGGATTGTCTAACACTAGGTTAGGCAGCTTAAGTCTTTGTTCTGTTCTCGGGTTGTGTGTGTCGTAGTGGTGTGTTTGGTTTGTAAGGGTTTTATTTATTCTAGAGGGTTGATGGGTTTTTTTATTGTTAGCAGTGGTTGATGTTTGGTGTTTGTCCTGCTTGGGTGGAGGTCCTGTTTGGGTGTTTGTCCTGTTTGGGTTTGCAGTGGTTGGGTTGGTGTGTTAGGGGATTTGGGTTCGGTGTTTGGTGTTAAGTTCTTCTTAATCCTTTTTATTTTTTTGTTTAATCTTTTATATCGTGATGCCAAGGGGTTGGTTAGATGGTTGCGAGTAGCAGTAGTAGGGGTAGTCTGTATTATCTCGAATCTCTCTCAATTTCTGTCTTCTTTCTGTACCTTTAATTTCATGCTTTTTAATGAAATTTTCTTTGCTGATAAAAAAAAAAGTCTTTGTTCTGTTCTACTCCATTTAGCCAACATGTTGGATATTCTTATGATGTTTGGTTCTAATTCCATAAGTACTACAACTATAAGAACTATGAAATATTCCAGTGAACTGTTCCCTCGAATTCTCTATCCATCATTTTGTTTTTATAATGCAGATTTTATAACGTGAAAGCTATGGTCCATGAGTGCTAAATATGCTTGTGACTGCTCTCTCATTCAATTGGGCAGGTTTTAATTCACTTTTGCTTCCTGCAATTGTGATTGTGTTTTAGGTTGGATTCTTCTATTTATTAACTTTTCCTTTTATATAAGAGTGTGTTTGAAAGTGTAAATGGGTATGTTCCTATCTTTTCTCTTTTCCTATTAGTGGTTGTTTAGGTACTTCTGTAAGCCTTGCTCTTTAGATCCTCTATAACTTTCATTCCCTGAAAGATTGAATTGCTAATGATTCTGGTTGAGTTGGTTCTGTAGTTTCTCAAGGCTGGTAGATTTTTCTGCCTTTTCGAAGCAACATTTCAGCCCCTGACCATATTCTCCTAGAAATCAGTCCTCATAACAAATGTTGTTTACCCAATAATAACACCAGTACCAGTTAAATCCTTACTAATTATTGGCATGCAATTAACTAAAAGAAGCTTATGTAGAACTACTGTACAATGGTCTTTTGTGCTCCACAACTTGTAATTGAAATTGGTGCACACAAAGAACTTTTTGGGATGAAGAACAAAACTACAAAAAAGCATTCAAGACAGTGAATAGAAATATACAAGAAGGAAAGTGATCAGAGAGATGGATGGAGAATGGATGCCGGTGGTGCACAAATATGGAGGTCAAGGCAATAGGAGCAAAGGAGTGGAGGCTGATATTCACACTATTTTTGTGGATAATTTACCAGAATCTATGGATCCAAAAAGTTTGTATGGGATATTCACTAATTTCAAGGTAGTGAGGGATGTGTTCATCCAAAATAAAAGGAGGAAGATGACGTGATCAAGATTTGGTTTCGTACGTTATAACTATCCAGTGGCAGCAAAAATGGCAGTCCAAAAAGCACATGGACTCTGGTGTGATAACAGAACATTGAAGGTAAAAGAAGCAGATTTTGTCAAAGGTAAGGAAGTAAAGCAGAGACCATCAAAGATACCAATTGGGAGGTGGGACATAGGAAGTACTAGTGGAGCTCCAACAATGGTACAAGGGGGAAAGTCATATGCCCAGGTTGTATAGGGGAGAGGGATAGTAACCAACACAAGTATAACAATAAATGCTTTCGAGGAAGGGACTGGTTGGCTGTATAATAGTGTGATTATTAGACTTAAACCACTAAGTTATGTGGCAGAGTTTAAAGAGGAACTGAAGACCAGAGGAATGAAAGACATTCACGTTAGAGATGGAGGAGGTAGAGACATAGTCTTGACCTTTGAATCAATAAAGAGCGTGAAAGAGAAGTTGATTATAATGGAGGGGTGGGTATATGAGTGGTGTGAGTGGATTAAGGAATGGAAACAGAGGATGGCCATTGAACAAGAAAGGTTTGTTTGGTTTACCTGTTATGGTGTGCCAGTGAACTTATGGAGCAATAAAACTTTCACTAACATTGGGAAGTTATGGGGGGTAGTCATAGGTATAGATGATACATCCAGAATGAACTCTTTACACAGTGAGAAGGTGAGGATAACTACTAAGTGTATGGAATCCACTAATAAAACCATTATAATTTGAGCTACAGGGGGGCGATTTACCCAATAAAAATGTGTGAAGAATAGGTGGTTATCTCGGAGGTGATTCACAATCAATGCAAGTGTTGCAATTTGTAGAATAAGGGGGAAAATCAAAGCTCCAATGGTGACAACAAAGAGCAGATTTCTGAATTGGAGAGCAAGAATGAAGATGGCCATGATGATGCTGAGGTGGAGGGCCAAGTTGGAGATGAGTTGGACAAAGAGGGTGACATGGAGGAAGGAAGATCTGTGATAAAACATGATGGTCATAATGACAAGGATGGACAAGATAGGTGGTAAAACATATCAGTAGTTCAAGAAACTGATACAAGCTTGGGAATGACAGAATTTGGGGGCTCATGCGAGGTCAGGACTGATGCAGCAGTGGTGAACTCGACGCAAATTGAAAATGAAGGCAACCGAAGAGTGGATGATGAAATTGTCACACCACGTTTTGTGAGGAGTCTTAGTGGATCTGAGATGAATAAGCCTAGGCTTAATATTGAGGTAGTATAAAGTACGGCCCATGTTTTTGAATGTGGAAATATGATGGGCCAAAGATTATCTGAGGTAAGTGACTCAGAGACTCAGCCCATAAGGGACAATTTTGTACAAATCAAGAGTGGTGAGGAAGCCCAGAATAGAATTGAAAAGGGGAAACATTGGGTGGTCGTGAAATAAGACTGCACCAACAGCTCAAAAAAAGGAAAGCAAACATGAAGGAGAAAGCTAAAGGAGCTGCAAGATTGCAAGGGGAAAAAAAGAAGAAAGTCTCCATATTGGGCTGGGATCTTCTCTGAACCTTTAGGTCAGTTGCTGCAGCAATTTCACTATTAATGGCAAGTAAGTCAGGTAGTAGACAATTACTGGTTAATGAGGCTGAAGCATCACTCCAAATAGGACATGTTCTTGGGCTAAACTATGAGGCCCGTTTGTTTTCAAAGATAGAATAGAAGGGACTAAGTAAGGTGATTGTTAGTGAGGAGGGGATTAAGAAAAATTGTGTTTGTTTGATCATTGAAGTAGTAATAGTTCATGTTTGTTTTGAGAGATAGGGATGGAATTAACCATGTGAAATTCCACAAATACCCTTTTTGCATATTATCAAATTTGGACTAATACCAAGTAAAGAATAAATAAATTTTTACTCAATATTATTCTTCTTCTTTTTTTATTTTTTTTAATATTAAAGAATCTAATTATCAAAAAATTATCAAAATTATTTTTTTAATATTATTCAATTTTTTTATTATTTATTTTTAATATTAATGAGTCCAATAGCAAAGTAGATTTGCCACCCAAATAAGTAGATTTGCACCCCATTTGATACCTCATTTGACAGAAATTATAATAAACTTCACAAGGCATCATTTTAAATTGTACAGGGACATCATTTTGCACCCCATCATTTTGATACCTCATTATAATAGATTTGCACCCCATTTTGTTGTTCTTGTATTATTTTACAGGACATCATTTTAAATTGTAAAATTTTGTTATTGTATTAAATATGTGTAAAAAAAAATTATTGAGATTTGTTAATTTATTAACAAAAAAATTCTTATCAATTATGGGGCGAACTAACAAAAATGAAATACACCTTTAACAAAAATTCTTATGAATGTACTCCTACTGAGATTATGCATTTTTGTAGTACTGTTTGCACCTATTTTTCTCATAAATGAGTGTCACCGAGCTTATAGGAGGCAGCAAAATTCAAGTCCAAAGCTTTATGATTTCCTTTTTCAAACCAGCAGGCTGCTATACCATCCAAATTTCTTGGGCTTATCCATGAAGATCCCCACAATTGGATAAAAGCACTCACTCCAAGCCCTGCTGCATAACTGCTGCATAAAAACAATAATAAGACATGAACTGCAGATTTCCAGATTTCCTTTTTCAATAATAATACATGAACTGCATAACAACAATAATAATGTATGAACTGCGTAACAACAATAACAACAATAACTCATGATTCCTTTTTCTCATACATTCCAAGCCCTGCTATATAACAACAATAATACATGAACTGCAGATTTTCTACTACTAAGTTACAAAAATCAGCCCAACACAGGAGCAACATATACTCAACAAAAAGACCATCATAAAGTATTGCAGCAGCAAAAACTACCTAACTTATAATATTTATGCATCACATAATATATTACAAGTCATGTGGGAAACAAAAGACCATCATACAGTAGATGCCACATTCAAATATGACCTTCCAATAGCAAAGAAATCCACTCCATCTTGTCATTCTCATCCAAATTGAAAAACAAGTCAACTTTGTCTTCATCTTTCACTATCATAGATGCTGCCATCAATCTTTGAGTATTACTCATTGACAACTTTAGAAGTTTTGCATTAACCAACCTCCTCTGTTGGGATAGGTCATGTGAATATCCTATCCTATGAGCAATCTCTACCATCATAGTATTAGTATTCTCAATGAATGATCCAAGATTTTTTGCCATCTCTGATAGTTTAGTGGGAATCCCTTCAGCAAGTCAAGCCCATTTTTTCCAAGTTTTAGTAGAGTCAGCACGATTGGGAACATTACCTACAGTAGACATTGAGTAGTTCGTATCACCAATGATCATACTAAACTGTTCAACGGGAGATTGTTCTCCTTCTTCTATAGTTGCATTTGCATCCTCTTTTTCCATGGCTGCAATAACATCTGCAGGATCCTCAGCTAGTTCACCAGTCGCCCTATCCTTCCCAAATAGAATAAGCCAATCTTCATAGAACGGGAATGGCCTGTTTCACATCCGTTTTGCATCTGGCACCCTCTACACAAGTGATTATCTAATTATTAAAAAGAACAAATTGATTTATAAGTATAGAGACATACAAATAACAACATAAAAATGAGATTTACCCTGGCATAGTTCTACCATACGTCGTTACTATCAACAAGCACAATCTTTTGTTCATTATCCCAACCAAAACCACTTATGTTTAACATATCTTGAAGAGTGTTATATTGTTTCCTCCACAATTTAATCTTCGAGTCGATGTGAGGATTGGCTCGAAGATCAATTCCAGGAAATGCACTTAAGATCTTCTTCTCACATTCATTATAGAAGCCTGCTCTAAACTGATTATTATCAAGCTTCCACCTGGGATTACTTGCGGTTACATCCTTCATGGTTGTAATGAGGAAGACTTCCTCACAGTGATTTCAAAACCTTCGAGGTTTTCCCTTCCTACGAGAACAAGTGGTACCTGTGTCATCCATATCTATATATATGTATATCATAAGTTTAAATCATAACACACATGTCAATC